AAGGATTCTTTCCAATGGTGTTAAAATCAGTGGCTGATTCAAGGGGGGATCGGGAAACACATCTCCCCCGGTCTTTAATTTAATCCGTATTTTATTATGTAAAGTCAAATTACATAATTGGATTGGACATCAGGCATGGCCTATATGTCCTCTCCAAGAAGGTCAAGGTTACAAATGTTAAGAATTGACAATGGTTTACAATGATGAAATAGTTCATAACAAATTACATTACTAGTAATTTCTAATGTAAACTAGAAAAGGAAGAAATGAAAAATATAAAGAAGATGGGCGAACAAGGCGAGCGCAATGCCTATAGTGCGACAATCATGAAGGTGAAAACTTAAATCTCAATTATAACAAATTTTTCCTTGTTATTTTTAATAGCGGAATAAATTTTTGCCGAGAAAATTTTCCTCAGAAAAGTTTATTTTATCATAATTTCATAAAATTTAATCGTGATTTTTACATATCTGAAGCTATAGGCATTCTGCGCGCCTTGTTCACCCATCTTATACACAAGAGTTATTACTTAGTATATATTCTCATTATATAATAGTCGCCCGCGTGGCGCAGTGGTTAGAGCGTCTGCTCTAGAGTCGCGGAGTAAGGAGTTGATCCTTACGTCGCGGGTTCGAATCCCACTGTGGGACGTGGAGACCGGTCCTTCGGATGAGACAATATAAACCGAGGCCCCGTGTCGCAGTAGGTGCTGGCACGAAAAAGATCCCTCACTGCTCAATGGCCGTAAGTGCCGAGTATAGGACAAAATTTGCAGCTCTCCACCGGGAAGTGGTGGCGTCTCCATATGAGTGAAAAATTCTCGAAAGGGACGTTAAACAACATACAAACAAACATTATACAATATTATGGAAAGAAAATAGAAGAGTGCAACAAACAGCAAAACTAAATAAGTAAATAAAGTGCAAAAGACACATATGGAAGGAAAAATACAAAAACAAATATTAATAATAAATAAATAATATACATATATAAATCTAAAGTTTTAATTTTTAGAAATAAGGACAAAATCAAATCTAGCCAAAAATGGTTTACTGGTAATAATGTTTTGGAAATTGTTGAACAATTTACATACTTGGGAATTATTTTCCATTATAATAATAAATTTGCAATGGCTAAATAAAATTGGAACAAGCAACGAAACTTCAAAAAGTCTTTGATTTTTTAAAAACTTACAATTTTCAGTTTAACAACAAGTTAATGTGAGGTTGACCATTGTTTCACACAATACCTGCACAAAGGTCTACAAGTAACTGGGAATCCCTTTCCGCTTGAACACAGAAAATACACAGGCAATCAAAAATGATGACACAGGATCATTTAAAAATATTCATTACTACACACAGTTAATCTATTGTTGCAGTAATATACAATTATTGCTGTCTTTGAGGTCAATATGATGATTTTGCCACCGAAGAAGTACATTATTCACCGGAATATAAATTCCATTGAAATATGTGTGTATAATAAAACCTAATTAACAGTTACAACTTCGTATGATGAATTGGGTAGAACTTATTTTATGTACATAGAAGCCCTGTCAAGGCAAGAAAGAAAAAAACAAGAGGCCCAAGGGCCTTAACGGTCACCTGAGTATAATGTAATGATCCATAGATTAAAACAAAATAAGCTGATAAATAAAGCTTTGTTTTCCAAAAGCAAGAGAAATAGGATGATCAGGGATCAGAAAAATATTAATTTAGTACTCAATAACAAATCTTAAAGTTGATCTATTTATTTGCCTGTACTTTCCCCATTTGTCACTATCCTCATGCGGACAAACAAAACAATAGTTCTAGAGCACTATTAGTTAACACAATTCACCCCCCCCCCCCTGCATTGGCCTCTCTTGATCTTTAAAGATTATATATTGTACAAAGATATGATAATTTTGTCCCATTTTCATTTATCTATTATTTAAAAGTTTACCTGACCATTAAAAACTATGAAAGTACTTTTGTATTAAATATTATAAAATTTCTTGTATAATTCTGTTATTCAATTGACCTTTTAAGTTACATTATTTACAGTGATTAACTATTATATGTGAATAGCAAAGGGGAATAACTTCTTTCAGTAGAAATAAATAAATTGACCAAAGGGTACAGAATTTCAAACTTTGGTAAAAACATCCCTGTTTATTACAACTTTGTATACTCTATTTGCCTCCTTCATGCCCAGGAGCAGAGAAGATTTTCAAGGAAATAATCAATTTTCACTATAGATTCAATATAGCCCCACGCTAACACCAATGCCCCTGACCCAGGGGCCAAGATATTCACAATTTTGGAAGCTGCACTCTTGCTCATTATAACCATGTACTTAGTATGTTTCCTTAATAACAATGGGCAAAGAACAAGATTTTCAAAGAAATAATGCATTTCTACTATATATTCAAAAGAGCCTCACCCTAACACCAAAATCCCTGACCCCGTGGCTATGTATTTTAACTTTTAAGAAAAGTTTTCCTTGCTCGTCATAACCATGCAATTAGTTTTTCTGTTAATTACCCCGGGGCAGAGAAGATTTTCAACAAAAAATTGCATTACACTATACATTTAATAGACCCCCCCCCCCCAAAAAAAAAAAACATGAACCCCTGGGGCCACAAATTTCACAATTTTGGAAGAGGCATCCTTAATCAACATAAATATGCACTTAATAGAACCCCTCCCTAACACCAGAACCACTGACCCAGGGACCAAGATATACATAATTTTGAAAGAGATGTCCTTGCTCATCATAACTATATACTTCGATTATCTGCTAAATATCTAGGAGCAGAGAAGAAGATTTTAAAAGAAATAATGCACTTTCACTATGTAATCAATAGTGCCACCCCCCTCCCCTCCCTCGCAGAACCCTTCACCCTGGGGCCACAAATTTCACAATTTTGGAAGAGGCACCCTTGATCATCATAACTATATATTCGGTTTATCCGCTTAATACCTAGGAGCACAGAAGAAGATTTTTAAAGAAATAATGCACTTTCACTATATAATCAATAGAGACCCCCCTTCCCGCTGAACCCTCACCCTGGGGCCACAAATTTCACAATTTTGGAAGAGGCACTATTGATCATCATAACCATTCACTTAGTTTATCTGCTTTATATACAGAGGGAGAGAATAAGATTTTTAAAGAATTTATGCATTTTCGCTATTTGATCAATAGAGCCCCACCCTAACACCAGAACCCCTGATCCAGGGGCCAAGATATTCACAATTTTGGAAGATGTGACCTTGCTCATAATAACTATATACTTGGTTTATCTGCTAAATACCTAGGAACACAGAAGAAGATTTTTTTAAAGAAATAATGCACTTTCACAATATAATGAATAGAACCCTCCGTCCCACAGAACCCCTCACCCTGGGGCCACAAATTTCACATTGATCATCATTACCATATACCTAGTTTATCTTCTTTATATACAGTGGGAGAGAAGAAGGTTTTTAAAGAATTTATGCATTTTCACTATATAATCAATAGAGCCCCGCCCTAACACTCGAACCCCAGACCCAAGGACCATGAAATTCATAATTTTAGAAGAGGCATCCTTCTTTATTATAACTATCGACTTAATACACCGACTTAATACCCAGGAGCAGAGAAGAAGATTTTCAAAGAAGTAATGCATTTTCACTATATTACCATTAGAGCCCCGCCCTAACACCAGAACCCCTAACCCAGGGGCCATGAAATTCACAATTTTAGAAGAGGCACCCCTCCTCATCATAACTATAATTTAGTTCATCGGCTTAATACTCAGGACCAGAGGAAAAGATTTTCAAAGAATTAATGCATTTTCACTATATTATCATTAGAGCCCCGCTCCAACACCAGTACCCCTGACCCAGGGGCCTTGAAATTCACAATTTTAAAAGAGACCCCCCCCCCCCCTCATCATAACTATGTACTTAGTTCGTCGGCTAAATACCCAGGAGCAGAGGAGAAGATTTTTAAAGAATTAATGCATTTTCACTATATAATCATTAGAGCCCCGCCCTAGCGCCAGAACCCCTGACCTGGGGCCATAAATTTCACAATTTTGGTAGAGGACTCAATGCTTATTACAATCATGCAAACAGTTTGACTGCTTGATGTCCAGGAGTAAAGAAGAAGATTTTTAAAGATTGCATTAATTTTAGTGGTTTGGCCCCATCCCTCAGGCCCCAGGGGGGTAGGGACCATGAAATTCACAAACTTTGTCCCCCTTCACCCATAGATGCTATATGCCAAAATTGGTTGAAAATGGTTGTGCGGTTTCAGAAAAGAAGCTGAAAATGTTCTAATGTTAAAGCACGATGCACGCCGACGGAGACGAAAACGGATGGCAATAGGTCACCTGAGTAAACTCAGATGACCTACAAACCTAACAGATTTTGTCTACAATTCACAATTTTGAGCTTTATTTAAAAAACATTTTCCGGGGAGGCCCACGCCCCTCTCGACAGCCCCTCCCATCCCCCCCCCCCGGCATCTAACCCTCTACATTAACTTTTGGATCCGCAACTGAAAATTAACATCTCATATAAGAGACTGAGAACTCGTAACCTCTTTATTTCAGTAAGCACTTACTATAGGCGAAATGACAAACGAACAAGATAAAATGATACATAGGAGGGATTATACCTGTAATTCTGTTTTGTTGGCAATCTATTTCACATCAATCAAAAGGGCTAGCGAAGCATGCAATCCATTCTACTACAATTGATTTTTTTTAAATAAATAATAATACAGTATTTCTTACAAGGAAGTGTTTAGAAAAAAATGAACATTTTAAATAGATTAATATTTATTTATTTTTTTTGGTAGAAAAATACTAAATAAGTATGAGTTTTTCATTAACTTCAAAACCTGCATGTTTTGTAGAGTGCATAGAATTTACTTTCATTTTTCACAATATTTGTGTAACTTTGCTGTAAATGTGTAGACCATAATTAGGAGCACGTATAATTGATTCGCTCAAGCTCTTCCAAAACTTGTTTTGTTATGTTTGCACAAGTGTTGAGATTTAAATGTTTGCGTTTTTAAAAGGACTTCTTGCTCCAATGCTCGCAACAAGATCAGTCTTAGATCTATAAAGGGCGTACCCTTGTAAGCTTCATTCAGGATGTAATATTAGGGTTCTACCCACCTTCTGTGAATTAATGGTCACAGGACCTCTATAAACATCTCTCTTACATTGATCCGAATTCACTTCAGGCGGTCATCATGGCGGGAGGATTTCTGCTGCTGAAAACCCTCCTTGTGTTTCTGTCTTTTTTACCCGGTATGTACGATTTGTAATTACGAATCTCTGAATCGGCTTAAGTTTTGCAATTCTTGTTCAGTTTTATTGCAATATTGTAATTCCACCATCAACAACTTAAATATTTTTATGTTGACATCTTTACCTTAGGAATTAAAGAGAATATGGGAACAATCGATTTTTAATCTGACACCAATACACATTACAAACCGGTTCCGCGATATTGATCTGGTGCATGTTTATTTATTATTAAAGATTAGGTTGTCTATGTACACTGTCACTAATTCGTTTTCTTTAATGTGTAAAATATGGCTGCACTGTCCTTTTCTTTCAAAATACATAACCCAACTGCTTTATCTTACTACCTGTTTATATTTCACTTTTTCTAATTATTCCTACTCCCGACTAGATCTATAGAATTTAAATATCAGCAAAAATTGAAATGTGTCGTATGTTTAGAATGACCATTCTTCATTGATTTGAAGAGTTTATCCAAAGTTCATAGAAAATTAAATGTAAAGATTTTATCGGAACGATTCTTTGTCCCCTATTCACGAAAACAAATTTTTAAAACATCAGATGAATTTATGATTCTGTATGAATCGGAGGCCTGGATATCCGCTATGAATGAATAAGTAAATGCGACAGGCCGTGACTACAACAACGTTTTGTCCGACAAACTACTTTATAAAACCATATCATTATTTTTATCTCTGCAATGCCCCTAGAAATCTGAAGTCCCAGAAGTAGCTATTAATTGGTGACTATATACTGCATGTTCCATGTAATCTGAGTACGAATAAATTTCAATCGTAACGTACTTTAAAATTCTTCACATTGTAATTGTGCATGTACCAACGTTCCAAACAAAGACGCGATTCTTTTAAAGCTCCGAAATAAAGAAAAGCAGTTTCAATGAAAGAAACTGCTAGAAACAGAGAGAATTAAATGAAACATGATAGAGAGTTCAAAATATTAAATGTTTCCCAAATTTCATTAAATTTTTTACCTATAGACGAAACAACACATAAAAGAACTATGAACGCTAAACTCTCGATTCTCGCCTACATTTTAAACTCATTTAATTCAATATAGATTGCAATTTGGCCATTAAAACTTAACTGAGTGCAAAGAAGAGTTCATTAGTAATTGATTAATAATTTTAAAAACAGTTCATTGCTCTTATTTACAAGTCTTTCCATAAGGGGGGTAGAAATTTTTTTCCGTTGAAATCAGGCCTTTTTAGCATCACCAGATTTTCAAATACTCATGAAAATGGATAAATGACCCCTAAATCTTTCCGCATGTTTAACTTATGTAAAATTCAACAAATATAATTAACAAAGTGCCCCACTATTTTTTTTTATTTGTAATCCCATTTGAAATTGGTAAAAGAATGGCCACTTCTGCTGTTTTTATCTGTAAACATATGTTCCCCCTTGTGAAACAACAAAAGCTTTGGTATGGATTTGAAATAACAATGTATTATCATGTTGTAAATTTTGAATTTACTAGGGGGAGGTAAATGCAAAATTTTGCATTTACCTCCCCCTAGTAAATTCAAAATTTACAACATGATAGTATAATACCTGTAAAAAGGAATTTTTGTTTCACGGGGGGTGGGGTGGGGGGGAGATGTTTTAAAAATAACGTGCGTTTTTGTTGATTTCTATAGGGAAAAACACAAGTTTTATCAAAATTATAAAGTTATTTCTCTTTGTTTTCCCAAATAAGTTACGTTTTACGAAAATTCACATTAATATCTACATAAATATGAAAAATCATTCAATTGTGTCAATTTTTGAAAATTGACTTGGAGGTAGACGGCAGAACAATACTATCGTTCGCAGTTCCTCGAATATGGATCAAATAATACTGATCAAATACTTGATTTTGTTCTCTTTCCCGAATAAAAAAATAACGAAGTTTTTTTTTATGTATACAGAAACTAAAATTGGTTTTGTTTAATAATATCGCTTAATTTAAGGTAATGCAAACTAACTGCACATTTGTTGTTAAAAATAGGTGTAGTTTCGGCAATGCATAATAATGGATGCATATTTAAAAATGGTCGGAAAAGTCACATGCATTATAAAAAAACAGGCCTTAAATTAATCTGTTCATGTTGAAGCTCCATTACATGATGCAAAAGAAGTTGGATGCAAAAATCTGTTGTTTCCAATGACTTTATATATCAATACGAATTCGTATTTCTTATATTCTCATTTAATATATAGCAAGTACATGTTACAGGGTCACGTGGAGACAACTATACTCTGGGTGGACTGGTTGCTTCCTCGATTGTAACATTCTTTGCCTTCATCGCCATGATCGTAATGTTGGTTCTTGTTATAACCTGGTCAGTGGACTTGTTTAAAGTTAGACAAAATCTGAATTAGAATTCCTCTTTCTGTACCTTTCTCAACAAATACATCCATGGTTATATTTTACTGAAAATTTCAATAATTACTATTATATTTTTCAGGAATCATTGGTTTCCAAAATACCAAGCATGGCAAGGAAAGACCAAATCACCTAGACCAATAAAACCTAAATTTGAGTTTCCTAAGCTGAATGGAGCTCAAAGTATTCCACTATCAACCAAAACTACGCCATCGCGACCAGGGTCTCGCCCATCTACACAGCGAGGCGGTACACTAACAATGATACAAAACGGAACCTCTAAAAATGCTATATATAATTCTGTCTCTACAGGTAAAGCATTTCGAAATGCGTCTTTTATATATTTGTATGTCTTTTGACTGATTCTGTAATAATATGCTATGAAAATAAGATTCTCTTTATGAGTTTGTCGTTCTCCAATTACAGATCACTGGATACAAGAAATGTGAGTACTGGTGTACAATTACGAGCGCGGATCGTTCCTGGATCTCAATATGAAATATAAACTATCTTTCAATATGAAATATAAACTATCTTTTTTTATTTACAGTCCAACACCACGTTATGAAGAAAAGGTAGCTTTTTAAATGTGCTTTTGACATAGAATCCTAGTTTAATGTTTGCAGTATAATTCAAACTTGAATATATATTATTTAAACTTTCCTTGTAATTTAGAGTAAACAAATAAACTTCGATGAAGAAGACGAAGAACAGGTTATAGTAACGGAAATCGTGACAGATTCAAACACAACTCATATTCCGGTGACAACGCCACTTTCAAACCACAACCAGAATATCAGTCTTAACGAGACTGTCAAGGCAGAGGAAATTCAGATGACATTAGAAAAACAACCTATAGAAAGTAAGGGAACGACAAACGGGGTCATGAACTTTCATTTCCAAGACGACGATGAGGCCGTGGCAAATTTAAGCGCCAGTAGGCGGGCCCAAAACGAGGACGAATTGATACTGTATTAGTTGAGTTTGTACAATTTATGTGAGCCAATAAGTTTTATAACAGCATTCTGACGGAGAATGGCCTTCTGCTAACTGTAATCACAGGGGCTTGCTTCTGGCGTGTAAAAAATATTTATTAAAAAAACATACACGATTTTCTGTTGACATAGTATATCGTGTATGTTTTTTTTAAACAAATATTTTTTTACACGCCAGGAGCAAGCCCCCGTGTAATCCGAGATTCCTCTGATTCTAACCCCTGCTTTTATATATATTTTGACATGTGCACAATATAAAAGCAGGGGTTAGAGTCAGAGGAATCTCGGATTAGCCCCTGTGCTGTACGTACATTTGTAATGAAGCTTTTCTGTAATTGTAGCAATTTTATGAAGAGGATGAAGATAAAAAAGGAAACATAGTAATGTCAGTAGGAAGAGTGTCCATAACGCGAGTAAAAGCATTAGAAAAGTCTTTGTTGATGCATGCCGTCCCTTCAAGAATATTTCATATGTTCATTTATGGTTATAAGGGATATCTTTCGTACCGGCATCTACTGCGATACCGGATTTTTGTTTTATTATAAACCAACTTTCTCAAAAATAATTTTTTTTATCGAGTTTCAAAATTTATTCCCCCGGTAGTCTCGGTATTCGTAAACATTAATCATAGTCAATACAGGTTTTATATAAATATTCAATTGAAAAATGTTCTATATGTATAAATTCATAGAAATATGGGAAATAAGACCGACTGATTTCGTACATTGTATGAAATGTTTACACGGCTTTACTTTAATACTTTTGTTTTTACCCTTTTTTGACGTTTTGTCTCATACGATGCGTGTTCATAAAGTTTTATTTTGATTACTACACAATATCGTTTTGTTTCCGCAATGCCATTGCTAATTGTGTTTTTAATCGGATACAAACATCGTATGTATATATTTTTGTATCAAGTTTATATGAGTTTTATATTAAAAAGAACATATATCAGTCTTTTTATTTCTTGCAAAACTTTGAAAGTGGTGACATTGGTCTTTAGATGATACTTAAAAAGAGCTGGACGAGGAAAAGGCTCTCATTTCAATAGGGAGGAGAGTTATTCTATTGTTGAAGCTAACATGTCCTTTTTGTTTTTTTGTGAATGTTTTGCTTATTCATATGATATAGCGTGGTCTTGCAACTCTTGAAAAGACTTCTTCCTATAATAAAATTTGATTCCCTACTGTAGCCTCAAGCTATTCCAGACGACCCTTATCTGAACAAACTGGAATCTACACTATCTGAGGATGCTTCCAGATAAAGATGATTAATCAAGGCCTTGCTGTTCTTCTTGAGATTTAAGATTTTCTCCTATACATTTCTATGTAAAACTTTGATCTCCTATTGTAGCCCACCCTACCCCCAGGGCCCATGATGCTTCCTGATAAATATGACTAATCATGGCTCTGCTGTTCTTGAGAAGAATATTTTCCTATATAAAAATGGTCTCCTTTTGTGGCTCCACCATACCCTAAGAGGTCAGGATTTGAACAAACTTAAATCTACACTCTGTAATGAAGTTTTCAAATAACTTTCATCTTTTCTGGCCAAGGGGTTCTTGAGAAGATGTTTAAAAGATGCCATTAAATTTTCACCAATTCCTTATTTTCTCCCCTTTAAAGGGGTGTGGTCCTTCATTTGAAAAAAAATTGAATTCCCTACACAAGGATGCCTTGTGCCAAGTCTAGTTGGAGTTGTTCCAGTTGTTCTAGAGAAAACACAAGTAGTTTACATCATCAACTATGACGATGACAGACAACGGCCAAATTTTGATCAGAAAAGCTCACTCAAGCCTTTGGTTCAGGTGAGCTAAAATGTCTACAATTCTGATTACAAGCATGTTGAAACCCATGTCACTACATGGATAGATATTCAGTGAGCTAAAATTTGAAAATGATAAAATAATGTAATCAGAGAAAGAACTTTTGTCAAAAAAGTACAGATTTTGTAGTCTCTGCATCATGTATCAAACTTTTAATTAAATACTAACACATTTGAATTCATGACAAGACCCCAAGTCAATAAACTAACAGGAAAACAGCTTTAAATCTTGTACATTTTGACACAAAAGCACTTTCTAGGTTTAATTAGACCCATTTTTTGAGAATGAGCAAAATTTACCTACAGGTTTCCCCATTTCATGCTGCTCAAGATTTCAGTATATTAATACATGAAATTTTACCGGTGAAATCCTCGATCTGATTTCTCGGTACACATACATGTATTTCAATGTTTCTTTGTGTGATTCACTCAGGTTCTTCTACTATACACAATATTGATCTTTGAACAAATTACCAAAGGAAAAAAAAAAAAAGGTATAACAATATTTTTTTTATTTTTCAACATCATGTTAAATAGACAAGTGTGTTGAACACTCAAATGGATACAGATTACTACACAATTTCTTTTACATTTATTCTGTTTGCCATGAGATAAATATATAGTACATCCAGGACAAATTATAGAAAACCATATCAAATGACAATGCACTTAGGTGCTTATAGTTTAGTTTATAGGATGTTTTTATCCCAAAGTGATGATTAATCAGTGTCATCATGAGTAACTTCAGATTAACACTGTATCATCATGAGTAACTTCAGATTAACACTGTATAGATCTCTTTAAATAGAAAGGAACAAAAAAGCTTTGAAGTAAACATTCAGAGTTTTTAGTCTAAATCAATCCAAATTAAAAAGATTTTTAACCCAAAATATATTCAAAAAATAAATGGCTCAATTTGTTTTACTCATTATTAAATCAGTTCAAAAGTTCTACACAATTCAAAGCAGGCTAATTGTTCTTGAATATATGAGTTCATTGAACTTGTTGACAGAATAATCAATACATATATGTTCTTTAGAAGTAACTTTAAAGCTTATTATACAATGACTTTCAATGTAAAAACAATGTAGTGTTTAGTTAACAACTTTCTATCAGATAAAAACAGGTGAATATTCATTACACAATGAATTCAGATTTTAACAGAGTCTCAGCCACTACTAAGCTCCATGATTTTCATTTTTGTGGTGGTATATTTTCTTGAAACTAAAATTAAAATCTGAACCCATCTTGATTAATTCTGCTGATTACAGCCAACTCTTGTATCATTCTTATTATGTGAGTGGGTTCTGTTAGGTCAATACACATGTATTTCTCCACTATTGATTTCTTAATCAAAAACTGCACAGCCAGTAATAACATTCAATCCTCTAAGAGCATCCCTTACATTTTCCAACAAATCTATGAAATAATCACAGTGACCAAGGTCTTTTAACAAAAAGAAAGAAAAAAAAAAAAAAAAAGAAAAAAAAAAAAGATAAGATAAATCATTATTTGTACTAAACATAAAGTCCCATGCCTTTATAAAAATGCTTCTTACAATGATATCATAAAAACTTGCAGTTCCTTGAAATTTGGACCCTCTACAAGATTTTAATGGCAAATTATATATATATATATATTAAGCCTAAAACTAACAAAATTTGTATATATCAAGCCTGTACATATCAATATTTGCAGCTTGTGTTTACGTCATAGTACATGTAATACATTTGAATGACATTATTATGACCCCCCCCCCCCCTTTTTTTTTTTAGAAAAAACATTTGCTATATTCTTTTTAAACACTGAAAAACCTTTTGTATGCTTTTGCATTAAGCCATTCTTAAAACTGAATGAAATACAGTCAACCCTTATATTTCCAACATAGCAGGATTGTCTGACTTCAAGATATCTGATGGTTCAAGATAATGATGTTGACAAGTGGATTCATGATTCAACCAGGAATGCTGACTCACTTCAACATATTTGGATATTCAGAAAATTAATGTTCAATACAACAAAATTCAACTTATCTAGTGTATTCAAAAAAATCAAAGTTCAAGACAACAAAGTTCAACTGTATTAGAGCAAATCATTACAAAACATTATGCCACTCAATAGATTTTTACAGTTTAATAATTGCTTCTATAATTATCATTTGTAGTAAAAACAAGGCAATAAGCCTCACAATGGAAAAATTCATGCAATTCTTTTTACACATGAAATCATTCATAAATGTCTTATCAAATAATTGCATATATATATATATCTTCTAAAATTTTTATTCCAAGTACAAATTTGAATGTAGGTAGGTAAATGAATAAATAATGTACAAAACAATACTTACAGCTAGGAAAAAAGGTAGCAAGAAATTTTTCTCTGATTTACAGGATCTAACAAAGTATTGATGACCAGTTTTCCACAGTTTGGCATACTATGACTGACCATGTTGTGATCATGTGATACTGTAAACAATTATCATGTTACTATAATTAGATCAGTTTTCATACATTCTTTCATACACTTTCACACAGGGTTCATAATTTATAAAGCAAACAAGGGATTCTCTTCGTCATCTTTTTGTAGCTTCCGTGACCTTTGACCTGTAGCGGCTGTTATGCTGGGGAGGGTGTCAGCAGCTTGGGCTCTATCATTCAAGAAGGAATCAAACTCTGAAAAAAAAAAATCAAAATTATACTAATTTTATTACAATCTATGTGCTTCATTATCAAATTATTTGATATTCAAAGTTCATATAATGAAACAAAAAACAAAACAAACAAACAAACAAAAAAAAAACAAAACAGTGCTGCATATTTATGATCTGGCATGGTTCAAGTCTTCTTGATACATACAATGCATAACGAGAAACAGAATAATAAGGGCATCAGAAAGAACAAATTCCTCTCACATTTTATCTTTAATACTGTTTCTAAGTCAAAAGAAATGATTGTCATTATAAATTTTATCTAAAATAAAAACATTTAGCAAACCTTTGACATTAAAAAATAAATTAACAAGCTAATTCAGAGAATTTGTGTCCCCTGACTTAAAGAACAAGAGGCCCATGGGCCATAATGCTCACCTGAGTAAATTTGGCCCTGCTGTTCTTCACCTGATTTCCTCCCATGTAATACCTATTGTGACCCTGTCCTACCCCCAGGGGTCATGAATTGAATTTAGAATCTACACTACCCCAGGATGCTTTCACTTAAGTTTCAGCTTTTCTGGCCCAGTGGTTCTTGAGAAGAAGATTTTTAAAGATTTTTCCTATATATTTTAATGTAAAACTTAGATTCCTTAATGTGACCTCACCCTACCCCCAGGGGCCATGATTTGAACAAATTAGAATCTACACTACCCCAGGCTGCTTCCACATAAGTTTCAGCTTTTCTGGCCCAGTGGTTCTTGAGAGGAAGATTTTTTAAAGATTTTTCCTATACATCTCAATGTAAAAATTGAAATCCTCATTGTAGCCTTGCCCTAACCCCAGGGGTCATGATTTGAACAATCTAGATTCTTCAGTACCCCAGGATGCTTCCACATAAGTTTCAGCTTTTCTGGCCAATTGGTTCTTGAGAAGAAGATTTTTTAATGACCCCATCCTATTTTTTTTCTTGATTATCTCCCCTTGGAAGGGGGCTTGGTCCTTTATTTTAATAATTTAACCCCCCTTCACCCAAGGATGCTTTTGCAGGTCCAAAGGCTTAAAATGCACTAAAAACAAACTGTTTTATTTGGTCTGTGTTGTGATTTCAATTTGAAATTCATGTATATAAGCCAATTTTCCAAGATAGTTTATAAGGTATCAAAATAACATATTTTTGTGATGTCACATGACTTCGGTGATCACGTGACGGTCACATAATATTTCCAAAATCTTGCACACAAATTACATTGGCACAAGTGATTAACAAAATTATTGTGTACTTTTTGTTATATGAATAAATTAATCGTATCACATTGTATATATAGAGTGCTGGGGGCAAGTTTGAATTTTATTAGGTCTTCCGTTTTCAACGGAAGACCTATAGTGATTCTACTGTTTCTTATTAGGTCTTCCGTTTTCAACGGAAGACCTATAGTGATTCTACTGTTTCTTCTTATTAAGGTTTTCCGTCTCCACGGAAGACCTTATAGTGATTCTATTGTTTCTTATTATTAAGGTCTTCCGTTTCAGACGGAAGACCTTATAGTGATTCTACTGTTTCTTCTTTTTCTTTTTAAGGTCTTCCGTTTCAGACGGAAGACCTTATAGTGATTCTACTGTTTCTTCTTTTTCTTTTTAAGGTCTTCCGTTCCAGACGGAAGACCTTATAGTGATTGTACTGTTTATTATTATTATTATTATTATTTTTTTCCCCTTTTTTTGTCGGCAGGATTTCTCAGAGATGACTGGATGGATTTTCCTGAAATTTTCAGGGTTGATAGAGAATGAAAATACCCCGAGGCGTTTTTTTCATTTTGTCAAAATTCACTTCCGGTCGTCAGATATGTCCGATTTCCGTTTTTTTCAAAAATATTTTTTCCGAGTGAGATCTCAGAAACGGTAAGAGATTAAGACACCAAACTTATACGAGTAATAGATCATGAGGAGTAGGCGAGCCCATTTGGGTTAAGCGTGTCAGCCGTCACTTCCGGTCGTCACAGGAAGTGATCAAAGAAATCGAAAATTTCAACTTTTCTTTTTTGAATTTTTTTTTGCATCACAATATTGCATCTTATGTGTAGTTTCGAAATATGTCAGTCCCACCGGAAACAAAAACGACAACTTCCGGTTATAAGAGGAAAACTACATAATTTGAGTAATTTACTTTCCCTTAAATATCTTTTGTAGATAAAGTATTTGAAAAGATTTTTAGATATGTTATTCAGACTGCAGATGTCTAGAGTAACGTCAAAAATCTTAGTAAAATTCACTTCCGGTCGCGTGTTTTTCCTGTCCTCAAAATGAAAAGTTATCTGAGCGAGATCTCGGAAACGGCATGAGATTAAGACACCAAACTTAAATAAGTAATAGACCTTGAAGAGTAGGCAAAACACATAGGGTTAGACGCGTCAGCCGTCACTTCCGGTCGTCACAGGAAGTGATCAAAAAATCGAAAATTTCAACTTTTCTTTATAAAATTAAAACTTGCATCACTTTGTTGCATCTCTTTCGTGTTTTGAAATATGTTAGATTCCACCGGAAACAAAAACTGCAAACTTCCGGTTTAAAGAGATAAACTACGTTATTTCGATGTTTAGCTTTCTCATAAATATCACTTAAAGATAAGTATTTGAAATGTTTTTTTTATACATATGCTGTAGATACTACAAATGTCATGAGAAAATTCAGAAATTTTTATTCAATTCACTTCCGGTCGTGTGTTTTCCTGTCCCAAAATTAGAATGTGTTCTCACAATTGCTCGGTAAGAGTAAAAGACTGAAGTCTAAAACTTTCAGGACTTATAGTCAGTCATCAGTTCATTTGCATCGTGTAAAAATCGTCTGTCGTCATTACTTCCGGTCGTGACAGGAAATGAAGAAAAAAGTAATTTTTTAAGTTATTTTGTTTCTACATCAGTTTTAGGCTTATACCGACGTTGGAAAAGACATGTTTATGCAAACAGGAAGTAGTATAACGGAAGACCTTCTCATTACTAGTAATGAGTTTCTAGTATTCTTAATATTATTGTATAGACGAAATTTTGTAAAGGACTTTGTCCGCTCCATTTCTCCAGAACAGCTTAAGATATGAAAGTTAACTCTGTCAGATATCATAGATAATGACTTGTGGATGTCACCATGAATATTCTTTCCGTCGTTAAAACTTCCCGTCGTCACAGAAATTGGATTAAAAAGTCGATTTTTTCTATTTCTTCGTCTTTCTAACTTCTTTTTTCTGTAATATTCATAGGGTATGTAAAGGCCCTTCTTTGAAGATTTTACGTATTACCAGTTTCTTGATAGGATTAAGAAGGAATTAAATATCTTTAAATATCTTAGAATTTCCGAAAACGTAGGACCAACGTTTCTTAAACACTACAAAATATTGATTTTTTCCCCGTATATATAGTTTGCGGGGACTGCTCAGTGCTCATTCACTTAGGAAGTGGTGTACAGTTAACACCTACCAGGTGATTGGGATAGGCCAGAAAAACCTTCCCGTTGCCATGAAACGAGTTTATATTAAATAAAAACGGTTGTATATGATATGTGTATGCATTTCATTTGCCCCTATTTTTTGTCAACTGTAGAAGACATCGCCATCTTCACCCCCCCCCCATTTTCTCTTTTTCGCTTTTATGTTTTGGATTATTTATAAAATGACCTTGAACTTCATATCACAAGCAACTCTTCTTGACGTTTTCAAAATTATAAGCCTTAATTCTTTCAATAAAATAATGGTAATTTACATGTTTATGTTCAAGACCCCCCCCCCCCCCTTCCTCGAAGCAACCAGGTAGAATACACAGATATAAAATTCACAACCTGTACGGAACTTCTTAAGAGTTTCATTAATAAAATTCAGTTCCCCTGATGTGATTTGATATTTTGCTACCATTCATTCTTCTTCTGTTTTGTCTATAGAATTTATAATTATTTTATTTAGAATTAATTTATCCTCAGAAAGTAGTGATTGTCAGCTGCATTCATTAGCATTTCACGTTTTCTTGTATATCTATTACTTCCATATTAATAATTTCATTAAATAATATTTAAAAGTATTAAAACTTCATTTCTATTAAATTTTATTCATTTGTATATCCTTGGATCCGCTCCTGCAGGTGCGCGAAAGCCTCATCACTACTGTAAACAAATTATTCATCGCGCCGAAAATGTTCATGATTCCGCTAAACTAAGAAAGTTTACACATAGTTTATCATCTCATAAACAACCATCAGCCCTGTCCAATGCAGAATTGCTCGAATTGAAGGGGAAAATTCAGGAATTGTTTTGCGTCAGCCATGTTTTGACGTGAACCTTACACGGCATTCTCTTATTAAGGTCTTCCGTTTCAGTCGGAAGACCTTATAGTGATTCTACTGTTTTTTAAGGTCTTCCGTTTCAGACGGAAGACCTTATAGTGATTGTAGTGTTTATTAAGGTCTTCCGTTTCAGACGGAAGACCTTATAGTGATTCTACTGTTTCTTCTTTATTATTATTTTTTTTTTCCCCTTTTCTTTTCCGGGCGATTTCTCAGAGATGGCTGGACGGATTTTCTTGAAATTTTCAGGGATGATAGAAAATAAAAATACGCCCAGGCGTTTTTTTCATTTTTTCAAAATTCACTTCCGGTCGTCAGATATGTCCGATTTCCGTTTTTTTCAAAAATATTTTGTCCCAGTCATATCTCAGAAACGGTAAGAGATTAAGACACCAAACTTATGTGGTTAATAGATCTTGAGGAGTAGGCAAAACCATTTGGGTTAAGAGCATCAGCCGTCACTTCCGGTCGTCACAGGAAGTGATAATAGAAATCGAAAATTTCAACTTTTCTTTTTTGAATCTTTTTTTGCATCACATTATTAAATCTCATTTGTAGTTTCGAAATATGTCAGTCCCACCGGAAACAAAAACGTCAACTTCCGGCTATAAGCGAAAAACTGCATAATTTTAGTATTTTACTTTCCCATAAATATTTTTTATAGGTAATGTATTTGAACTGATTTTTGAATATGTTATCA